ACAGTTTTTCCAAATATGCGCAAGCATATCCACTTAAATCACTAGCTGCTACTGAAATTGCAGACAGTCTTCTAAGTCATTTTTCTCATCATGGAATTCCAAAACAAATAATTGTAGACAACGGTACAGAGTTTAAAAATACCATAGTGACAGAATTACTGTCCCTACACAAAATAAAAGTTCACTTTTGTTCGCCTTATCACCCGGAATCGAATGGTATCGCCGAGCGTTTCCATTCAACCCTTTCAGAGCACATCAGATTGCTTAACAATCAAAATTTCGCTAACGCAACCATACAAAATAAAATTGTATATGCCGTTCTGGCTTATAATCATACAATTCACTCTACAACCAACCTTAAACCCATTGATGTTGTGCAAGGACATATTACATCAGATGACACTTTTAATTTAAAATTAGATCAATTAATTTTATCAGATTATATAAATGAACATAAAGAAAAAGCAAAAGTTCTTTATGCGCAATTGAACGAAAAATTAATGGCTAAGAAAGAACACTTAACTACAAAAATTAATGTGAATAAAGACAACCCAGAAATATTTGAACCAAACCAAACAGTATTTACGAAAAAACACATACGACAGAAAAACGCTGACAAATTCAATAAGCCGACCAAAATAGTAAATGTCGACACAGCTAAAAAGACAGCAAAACTCGAATCTCAAGATAAGATTCACTTGTCAAACATAAAACGTCCATTAAAAAATAAATATAGCTTTGACTAATTGCTATATTCTCTTTTCAGGATACTACAAGTATCAATTGCCCTTGAAGACAAAATTCAATTAGAAAAAATCGCTGATAACCCTGGACTATTGCCAATTAAATTAGGACAAGCCAAACTAGAAGAATATTCATTTACGCTAATTCATTTTTATGACCTCAATCCAATCCTAAATGAAGTCAACAAACTTCAAGAAAAATCAAAAAACTTGACCGATAACGTAAATACGCACGCAGAATATAAGATCGAAACTAGTAATTATATAAAAATACTATTCTTAATTCAAGACCGTGTTGAAACAAAATTAAAAGAATTAATTCCACACCCACAACGCACAAGACGCGGGCTTATTAATGCAGTCGGATCAATTTTCAAAACAATTACTGGTAACCTAGACGCATCAGATGGAGAACGTTATGAACAACTAATTGAAAATTTACAGAGTAATCAAATTGAAATAAAATCAAAAGCCTTAAAGGAAAATGCCATTTCGATTAAGCTGATTGAACAATTTAATAAAACTATTCAACAAATTGGGAAAAACGAGAACTTACTCGAATCCAAATTAAACCAGATTAGTTTAATTGTACAAAAAGGCACTTTCCGAGAAAATGCTAATATTATTAAAGATACTCTCAATCAAATAATTAATTTATACGAAATCATTGACTCAATACTGCAAGATGTAGAAAACGCAGTTACCTTTTCGAAACTGAAAATACTACATCCGAGTATCATAAACACTGAAAATCTATATTTTGAGTTGCAAAGAATCCAAAAAATTGTGAATGCGAAAAGTATGCCCTTAGAGGTTACTCTAGCAAATACATTGTTATACGAGAAATTAGTGAAAATAGAAAGTTTTATTCTAAACAATAAAATTACCTTTCTAATTCGATTTCCTATCACTTATCAAAATAATTTCGACTATTATCATTTATACTCAATACCAATTTACAAACAAAATAAATTCAAAACAATCATTCCAAAAAGTAAATTCTTGGTAAAAAACAAATTGCACTTCTCATATCGATCTACGGAGTGCCAGGAAATCCAGAACCAGTACTATATCTGTGACAAAATGGACCTCACAGAAATCACAACCAAAAATCCATGTGCAATCCAATTATTGGAATCAAGTAACCAAGTCCAATCATGTCAACAAATCGAAGTTAAGATTTCGATCCCAATAGTCAATCAATTGGACCTCTCAAATAAATGGATCATAATTATTCCCAAAGAAGAAACAGTCAAAATGGAATGCAGCGACCAAGAAGAATATCAAAAATTATTTGGTACATATTTTGCCGAAATCCCAAAAAATTGCAAACTAACTAATCACAGCAATCAAGAAGTGATTATAAACAACGCACACGTAGGCCAAACAAAAACCCAGCCTATATTATTTCCTGATTTGAATAATCAAGAAGAACTACTACTGCCAACACTTAACCTGAGTGTTCATCTAGATGACCTGAAATTAGATGACCTCCAAAAAATCGAAAACCAAATTAAGGACAATCAACTTAATTTTACACCGTTTCCCGAAGTCGTCGAAGCCCCAAATATTTGGACTATCTTCATTTACCTACTAATGGTAATTTTCGTCAGCTACTGCACCTACAAGAAACTGATTCAACTTAGACGAAGACCACGAAGAGCTCAAGAAGCCAATCCAGAAGACCCAATCCAAGAACCAATTATTCAACTACCCCTTCAACATGTTTAGTTGAATCTAATGAGGGAGGAGTTACATACGGCTCTACATTGTATATTTTATTTAATCAGCATATTATTTTTCATTGCTCATAGGGTAATGAAGAAACCTGTAATTTTACCTATTCAAAAGGGCTGCTGTTGCCAGTTTTACAGGAATCTTTTTTTAGAATATTATTTTTATGATAAATAATAGAAATTGAGATTATATTGATAAACTACAAATAATAACATTTTAAACTTGTTGTGGGTTATTTCCGCAACAGGAATATTGCTATATAATGATACAACATCAAGGCTAATAAGAACATAATTTTTTGGTAATTTTAATATTTTTTATGAAATCAGCAAATGTGAAAGTGTCTTTTGTATAATAGATATTATCACAATCATATGAAGTAGTTAAAATATTTGTGATAAATTGTGATAATTTACTATTAGGAGCATCAATTGATGATATTATTGGTCTTAATGGAATGTTAGGTTTATGTATTTTGGGCAAACCATAGAATTTTGGAGATTTTTGATTATAAATAGTGAGTTTTTTTGCTTCTTCTGGAGATATTGTTTTATTATTTTTTAATTTTGAAACAATTTGATTTGCTTTTTGTTGAAAAGTTGATTTAGGATCTCGTGGAAGAATTTTATAATAATTATTGTCGGATAATATATCGAGAGATTTTTTAATATAATATAACAATGTGACGGAAACTAGCTATTACCCTTTTGTGGACTCTAGTCATTACCGCACCAGGGATGTCAAAAGTTTTTACTTTGACTGACTGTAAAAATTAACCATTAGGTGTTGGATCATTTAAGCCTTGTATTGAACTAGGGGTGCCTTGATTCTCATTTATACAAATAAAACGCTGAAATAGAATAGTTATCAATTTAATCAATAAATGAAGCCAATTCGGTCTAATCAGCAATCAAATCCTATCTAATAATTCCTATTTGGACGTCCACTCGAACTACAAATTTTATACTAATCTAAAGTAAATAAGCGAGTAAATAAATATCTTGATTTATGAAAAATAGTGAAATTTCATAATAATAATATCATTTATGGTTAAATGTTCAATGAACGAGAACACAAATTAATTAATTTAATTTACGAGAGCAAAACACAAATAATTCGTAAACTTCAATCAGCTCACTGTATTCACAAAATGTTTATTTATCCTTGAAAGTTCCTTTGTTTATTGAGAGTTAATAATTTGAGCACTTTTCTGCTGAAGTGTGTAAACAATAAGTGCAAGAAAAGTCTATATATATATGCTCAGTTTCTATATACAAATTTACAAATTAATGTTCATTTCACGAGTGTGAAAACCAAATTTCTGTATTAAAGGTTAGAACAAACACTTCAATTTATAGTGCATTTCAACCGAATCAGTATTCAGTATTTATTAATTTATTGTTCGACTGTTTTGAGAAATTGAAACGGTCTTACTTGCTTAATCCAGTTCATCCCGGTAAATCCATATAGTGATTATTTATCCATTTATCACTATTCGTAGTAATTTGCACTGACAGCTAAGGAATTTTCCACTGAGAGAGAGAACACAATGATATACAGAGTTGGAGCCCGTCGAGAGTGAGACAGGGATAACCTTAAACAGGCGTAGTAGAGAATTTTGCTAGGTCCGAGATGACTTGCAACAATTTAGGGGTTAATTACATGAATTGTAATCAAAAATATCGTTGATAATATAGGCCATGTCAGGCCTTGAGACACTGGGAGTAGTATTTTACTATAATTCGCGTACTAACGGGAGTTTTCTGGGGGTTTTTTCCTCTGTAGAGCGTTCAGAGGCGAGAGGGTGCAGAGTCTTTGCTTACTCTTCTGCTTCTTTCAAAGAAGTTTTTTTCATATATGCCTTCCCAGATGGTACTGATACCACAGTTACCTGAGAGAATAACTTCTTACTCTCTTCATCGGTTACATTGGGTTGAACCATGACATCATCCCCTTTCTTCCAACCTTCGGGAGTGGCTACCCTATATTTGTCACAGAGCTGCATGGAATCCAACATTCTTAAGATCTCATCAAAGTTCCTTCCTGTAGTGGCTGGATACAAAACCGACGCTCTCATTTTCTTTTCAGGATCAATAAAGAAAACAGCTCTGGCTGGAAGAGCAAGACCAAGAGAATCTTTCTCAGAGGGATCCAACATTTGTAGTCTGATTGCAAGTTCCCTATTATCGTCTTCAATTATTGGAAAGGGAAACTCCAAATCGTCGAATTTGGCAACAGCCTGGATATCTTTTTGCTGTTGCATGATTAAGCAATTGGGGTATTCTATTCTCCCACCCGGCGGATTTTACGCCAGTGTGCACCACTGAATTGGCCAGAGTTATTCAACTAGCCGGAGAATTTGCAAAACGTAACTGCAAAGTGATCGCTCTATCATGCAACAGCAAAAAGACGCATCTCCTATGGCAAAAAGATATCCAGGCTGTTGCCAAATTCGACGATTTGGAGTTTCCCTTTCCAATAATTGAAGACGATAATAGGGAACTTGCAATCAGACTACAAATGTTGGATCCCTCTGAGAAAGATTCTCTTGGTCTTGCTCTTCCAGCCAGAGCTGTTTTCTTTATTGATCCTGAAAAGAAAATGAGAGCGTCGGTTTTGTATCCAGCCACTACAGGAAGGAACTTTGATGAGATCTTAAGAATGTTGGATTCCATGCAGCTCTGTGACAAATATAGGGTAGCCACTCCCGAAGGTTGGAAGAAAGGGGATGATGTCATGGTTCAACCCAATGTAACCGATGAAGAGAGTAAGAAGTTATTCTCTCAGGTAACTGTGGTATCAGTACCATCTGCGAAGGAATATATGAAAAAAACTTCTTTGAAAGAAGCAGAAGAGTAAGCAAAGACTCTGCACCCTCTCGCCTCTGAACGCTCTACAGAGGAAAAACCCCCAGAAAACTCCCGTTAGTACGCGAATTATAGTAAAATACTACTCCCAGTGTCTCAAGGCCTGACATGGCCTATATTATCAACGATATTTTTGATAACAATTCATGTAATTAACCCCTAAATTGTTGCAAGTCATCTCGGACCTAGCAAAATTCTCTACTACGCCTGTTTAAGGTTATCCCTGTCTCACTCTCGACGGGCTCCAACTCTGTATATCATTGTGTTCTCTCTCTCAGTGGAAAATTCCTTAGCTGTCAGTGCAAATTACTACGAATAGTGATAAATGGATAAATAATCACTATATGGATTTACCGGGATGAACTGGATTAAGCAAGTAAGACCGTTTCAATTTCTCAAAACAGTCGAACAATAAATTAATAAATACTGAATACTGATTCGGTTGAAATGCACTATAAATTGAAGTGTTTGTTCTAACCTTTAATACAGAAATTTGGTTTTCACACTCGTGAAATGAACATTAATTTGTAAATTTGTATATAGAAACTGAGCATATATATATAGACTTTTCTTGCACTTATTGTTTACACACTTCAGCAGAAAAGTGCTCAAATTATTAACTCTCAATAAACAAAGGAACTTTCAAGGATAAATAAACATTTTGTGAATACAGTGAGCTGATTGAAGTTTACGAATTATTTGTGTTTTGCTCTCGTAAATTAAATTAATTAATTTGTGTTCTCGTTCATTGAACATTTAACCATAAATGATATTATTATTATTATGAAATTTCACTATTTTTCATAAATCAAGATATTTATTAGATTAGCTTATTTACTTTAGATTAGTATAAAATTTGTAGTTCGACTGGACGTCCAAATAGGAATTATTAGATAGGATTTGATTGCTGATTAGACCGAATTGGCTTCATTTATTGATTAAATTGATAACTATTCTATTTCAGCGTTTTATTTGTATAAATGAGAATCAAGGCACCCCTAGTTCAATACAAGGCTTAAATGATCCAACACCTAATGGTTAATTTTTACAGTCAGTCAAAGTAAAAACTTTTGACATCCCTGGTGCGGTAATGACTAGAGTCCACAAAAGGGTAATAGCTAGTTTCCGTCACATTGTTATATTATATTAAAAAATCTCTCGATATATTATCCGACAATAATTATTATAAAATTCTTCCACGAGATCCTACATCAACTTTTCAACAAAAAGCAAATCAAATTGTTTCAAAAGTAAAAAATAATAAAACAATATCTCCAGAAGAAGCAAAAAAACTCACTATTTATAATCAAAAATCTCCAAAATTCTATGGTTTGCCCAAAATACATAAACCTAACATTCCATTAAGACCAATAATATCATCAATTGATGCTCCTAATAGTAAATTATCACAATTTATCACAAATATTTTAACTACTTCATATGATTGTGATAATATCTATTATACAAAAGACACTTTCACATTTGCTGATTTCATAAAAAATATGAAATTACCAAAAAATTATGTTCTTATTAGCCTTGATGTTGTATCATTATATAGCAATATTCCATATAATTTAATAATAAATAGCATAACATTACATTGGCCTGAAGTTTCTAAAAAAACTACATTAAATAAAGAACAATTTCTGAATATAATAGAATTAATTTTCAACTCATCTTACTTCAAATTTAACAATCAATATTATAAACAAATCTTAGGCACACCAATGGGATCTAATTTATCTCCAATTTTATCCCAATACGTAATGGATGATCTTCTTGATAATTGCATACCCAAATTGAAATTCAAATTACCTTTCATAAAAAAAATTGTAGATGACATAATAACGTCAGTTCCAGAAAATTCAGTTAATGAAATTTTAACAATATTCAATCAATATAATTCAAACATTCAATTCACAATAGAAAAAGAAAAAGATCAAAGTGTTCCATTTCTAGACACATTATTAATGAGATCTAATAAAAATAACATTATAACTGATTGGTATACAAAACCGACTTATTCAGGAAGATACATCAATTTTCACTCATATCACCCTCTAAAAATGAAAATAAATCTCGTTCTTGGATTAAAAAATAGAATTTTCAAAATATGTCACCCTTCTTTGTTTCAAAAGAATATCAAAAAATTATTCAATATTTTAAAAAAGAATTCATATCCTGATTATTTTTTAAAAAAATTTCTTTTCAACACAATACAAATTCAAAACAATAATGCGTCTTTTGATGATATAACAAATCCAGTCAATTCAAACTCAATAAATGATAACATTGATAATTCAGTTCCACAAAACCCTCCAGAAATTCAACAAATCAATAAAATTTATTATTTCTCACTGCCATACATAAAAGAATTATCAAAAAAATTTGAAAAAAATATTCAATGTAAATGTTAATATTAAAATTTGTGGCAAACATTTTTTAAAAATTTCAAATCTCTATTCAAAATTTAAAGATAAAGATGAAAATTTGAAAAATTCAGGGGTAGTTTATTCCATTAAATGTAATGATTGCGATAAAAATTACATTGGACAAACATCAACACTTTTAAAAGAAAGAATAAATAGACATAAAAGTGACTATAGATTAAATAAAAGAAGTTGCAGCTTATCTGAACATATATCGGACACAAATCATATGTTTGATTTTTTAAATCCTGAAATTTTGGAAATAGAACAAAATTACAATAAAAGATTATTTTGAGAAATGGTTAACATACATAATGATAATTGTATTAACAAAAAGAAAGACATAGAAGATCTGAATATTATTTATTCCTTACTTTTAAATTCTATATCTCAATGAGGAATTATATTAATTATTAAAATACCAAAAAAATTTTTGTAATTGAATCTTCTCACCAAAACTGTATAAAATAATAACTGAACATTATAAAATTACCTTTGTTGAAAACCAGTTTTATTTCTTGACAAATTTCAATTCAATTTTCAAAATTATAAAAGCAAAATTTCAAGATAAAGCAAGAGTTTCAAAGAAAAGACCAAATTTCCAATAGATTTTCAACAATGGCTAATTCTATAATAAATTAACTAATTTTACACGTAAGTTTTTATGGATATTTTATATTTTCAACAATTTTATTTCGCTTTATACTTTTAGCCTTGATAAAGGAAACAATAAAATTTCCGAAAGCTCGGCGTTTGTGAATAACTAGTTTTATTTATGCCAAGACTGCATCCCAAGAATCATCTCACCTATTAAACGAGCCAGTCAAGAATTTTTACATCTATTACCAATTATATAGCAGTCAACCAATGAAATTCACTCTGGCTCGTTTGTGATTTCTGCAGAAACGGACCTATTAGTTTTGTTCCTAGTTTCCTAGAGGTTAGAAGTTTTATTTATTTTTCTGTTTTTCATTTTCCTACATTTAGAGGCTTTTATCCTCGTTTTGTTTTTGGGATGTTGGTTTGTGTTGATTTTGTTTATGTCATACAATTACCAAAATAACCGGATCCTCCTGGGCAGTCAACATGTAAGGAGATTTATATTTGGAGAATAAAAATAATACGCGAAATTTGTATGCATAAAACTTTATCGAAAACCTTTGAATAGACATTGAATAAAAACTAAACCTAAGGAAAAATTATTAAATAATGCCTACTGATGGCCAAAAAAATCCACCGAAACTGTAGAAGGGGAAAAGCGAATTAAAATCCATCTATTGACACGTGTATGAAACTTTAACGCAGTTTTGGCGACAAATTATTCACAAATGAAAGTTGAAAAAATAATAATAAAAATAAAAGACAAAGAAAAAAAAATTACAAAAAACAAAATTCCTACTCTTAATAATTATTATTGTTGAGCAAAGAACTCTCGAATTGAGTATTAATAAGTGTTTCCAAAGAAATTGAAAACGGGAGGTTCGCTCAGCCCAAATGTTCAATCAAAAAAATAAAAATTAATCAAGTGTTGGTTTGGAATAAGGCGGCAAGCAAACGTCAACAAAAAAAAAAATAAATAATAATCAGTCAATAATTTTCTTCACACTAGATTCAGTTTGTTTTTTATTAATTCAGGAACTTGGTGCGCTCTCTGCTGGTTTGTCAGGTTGAGCTTCCAATTTCTGCTCTTGTTTTAGTTCTTCGAGAGATTTAGCTGCTTCAGGCATTGCAGCAGGTTGAGGCGTAATCTGTTTTATTGTTATCTTATGAATGTTTTGAAAAGAACATGAAAGATAGTTACAAAAAAAAATTATTGAAGATTTATTATATTATCATATAGCTTACTTCAATAAAAACATTAGGTCGCAAACTCATTTAAGTCTATATTGGCTTAAGAGAACATCCTATTAAAAATGGTTTATAGAATATTTTATTTCGAAGGTACAAGAAGACATTATTTTAACCCTTATACAACCTAAATGACGTCTTTCCATATTGTCAGAAACTACAATAGAATTATTTTATCATTGTTTATGTTTAGGTTATATTTGTGACAACAATTTGATAACAGACAGTTGGTCAAATCGGTGGTTATTATAAAAGAAAAGCAGTGTGCTTTTCTGTTTTTGAAGTTGTTCAATTGTTATGTTGTCATGGTCGGATAACAATATATATTTGTAATTTTTTGTAAAAGTTATATTAAAACACAGTCACGAAATTAATACTGGCGGTTCTTCATTCTATTTTAATATATATGGTGCGTTGATGCTCCGGTTGCCATGCGCGTGGGCGCCTGGGCGGCGCTGTCTATAGTATTCGTCCGCTCCTGGTAAAATCATTTACAATGTTACCTATTAAACATTTTCCTTACAGGAAGGACTCTAAAACGCCTAAACTCATGCCTGAATGACTTTATTCAATTAAACGTTGTATTTATGTTTGTAGTATGTTTCTGCGTATCGGGATTATGA